CATATTGCTGACCTTCTTTCAGCAAATTATATTGGTTTTGACTTTTGCTATGAATGCAACCAGAATCTCTATCACACAAAATGTTTTTCAAAACTCTTACTGGATCCTAAAACATCTGTGCATCTCCAACTGATGGGTAGTTATTAAAAACTGTTTTCTCTTAGTGGCCTTTAGGAAAAGAAGGGTGAGGGAATAGAAAGTCCTCGTTTGTAAGCAGGGTTACATTTTATGAGCTGTCATCTTGCCCTCTCAATTTAAATCTTCCCTGACAAGTTTAGTGCCAACAAACCTTGGAAACCAAGATTGATTCAGAATTTGGTGGTACATTAGCAGAACCTTTTGAAAAGTTTACATTAATTTTGCTTCTCGTTTACACACACACACACACACACACACACACACACACACACACACACGGTCAGGTATACTTTAGTTCTAGTTTAGTAACTTCTATGCAATACTTTCTCCTAATGATGAAACACAAAATCTGTCAGCCAACTCTCTTGTTATATTGGGGAAATCAAGCCAGACACTGACTGAAGCAGGAGCAGGGCAGCCCTGGACGCCAGGTACTTGGCACCAGCCCTCTTCCTGCCATCATGCTGTGCCCCTTGAAGGACCAACAGAGTTCTATCTAGTGTGCTTTTGTAATAATTTGAGGCTTAGCACATCATCCAAGATGGGTTACTTGGAGCTTAATTGCCTTTTAGAATGATTTGTGATGTTTCTCCTCCACTGTCTTAGCAGTGTTAATTTTATAAGCTAGTTTTATTATGTGCACATCATGATGGGGGAGAAAGATGTTCTCTTCTCGAGTCTACTCTTTTTCCAAATACCCTTTCTTCAAACAATAAGAGAAGGACTAGAGAGATGAATCAGCAGTTCAGGGCACTGGCTGTTCTTTAAGAAGACCTGGATCTGATTCTCAGCACCCACGTGTCAACCCACAATTGTTTGTAACTCCAGTTCCAGGGGATTTGTCACCTTCTTCCAGCATGCAAACAGCACTGTCCATATGTAGTACACGTACAGAATGCAAGCAAAGTGCCCATACACATAGAAATAAATTTTAAAATAAAAAATTAAATATTAGAAAATAACAATGAGAATTGAAATTGAGCACATTTATTACCTAAAACATCAATGGGAGAGTCAATTTTTTTTTTCTCCAAAACTGTTTTTCTATTTGCCCCTAATTACACCCAGGGTTGAGACTCCAGAATTCCTGAGATAAATTATTTGATAAAAATAGCAAACCGGTGAAGTGTGCTGACCCACATTGCAAACACTGTAAAGTCAGTGATGTCTTATCACTGTGTCTCAGACTTGTGAATTAACCTTTGATTCAGTCATTCATTTATTAAATGAGCCTTTTGAATTCCAGCTTCTGGCTTGCTGGTGTGGTGTTGAATTGTGTTTTGTTTTATATTAGCCCGTTCTTTTCTTATATTGATATCTAGTTGGGTTGTCAAAACAACAAATCAGAAAGCAAATAAGTAAATAAGTAATTGTAATGTGATAAGTAGGTACAGAAGCATACAAGATAATGTGATAATACTGAAGGAATATGCGCAACTTGGGTGGAGAGCCATTTGGAAGAACTCTCTTGAGAGGGATGTTCAAATAGATTCCCAAAGATAAGAATAAGCTGGACCTTCAGAGAGCAGTCCCCATGAAGACCAACAATTGAGCTGGAGAGTCACGACTTTCCTATCCATTAACTGAGAACAAACTATCTTTCCTTTTTATTATTATGTTTTATGTCCATTGTTGTTTTGCCTGCATGTATTTCTGGGTGAGGCTGTCAGATTCCGTGCAACAGGAGTTACAAACAGTTGTGAGCTGCCATGTGGGTGCTAGGGAATTGAACCCTCTAGAAGAACAGCCAGTGTTCTTAACTGCTGAGCCATCTCTCCAGCCCCCTAAAACTATCTTTCTCTGTTTGAATGATGTGGTGATATTAACAAATTTACATGCAAATAGTTATTCTGGATTGACTAAAACAAGAAGTGAAGGAAAAATAAAATCTAACTTTCAGAAAGAAGGGAAAATTATTAGGTGACATGAAAGTACAGGAAAACATTTAGAGATCTATTTCATGCCTTTGCAAACATCTCATTGTGCAATATAAGCTGTCAAAGTTGGCGTTCATGGAAGGCAAAGATCTTGGAGTTGAGAATTGACTTGGGCCTTGGAGAATGAATGGATTTGATGGGTTCCAAGGAGGCAGTAAAATGAGAAAACTGGTTAAACAAAACTGTGATACTGTCAGACCCTGCACAGGAATCTGTGACTATGAAGTCTCACAAGCTACAGCCAGAGCAGTCTTTGAGGGAACAAAGATGATTGACAGGCCTGATTCATATGAGCTGTTACAAAGAGAGTAGGACAGCCAAAATCATTACGGCTTCTTAGGCAAAATAAATAAATAAATAAATAAATAAAAGTTAAAATTATACAGCTTAATGTAAATGAGAAAGTCTGAAGGCTAGGATAGGAAAACTTTTTATAATCATCTTTTTTATTTTACCTGGTGGTGAGAACATGCCCTATACTAATCTGCAGGTGAGCTATGCACAGGACATGTCAGAATTAACCCTAGTACACCTGGTGGGGACTGAAGGTTGGCAAATCAAACACCAAGTCCAAGAGATTCGCTCTACATCATCAGTGATGGAACTAGGCAAGTTTATCTGGGATATTCAATTACTAACTCAGTGTGGGACAGATTAAATTTCAGAAAACAGCAAGATACCCAAACTGTGATCTGTTCTAGGAGTAGAAGAGAGGAGCTGGACAAAGAATGGGAAGAGGATGGGAATGCGATTAGGTAATGAGAACGTGGGGCTGAGCTCTTGAGCTCATAATTAAGCCTTGGAGGTGGGGGAGTATAATTCGAACCGAAACAAAATTATATCAGGAAATAGCCTCAGAGTATAACTATGCAAAGTCCTTGGAGATGTATGTTATTATGATCATCAAAGCCACACCTAACCTAGGGAGTGAGCACTATTTGCTCTAAGGTTCATAAACATAATAACTTGTTTTATTCCTCTCCATAACTTTCCAAAAGCAAATGCTGCTGGTATCTGCATTTTCTAGGTAAGAAATCTTGGGCACAGAGAGATTAAGCAATGGGGCCAAGATGAATCAACTTGCAGCAGTACAGCAGAGATTCAAACACAGGCACTGTGCCTTCAAAGCCTGGGTCTCTAGCTTACACGCCATATGCTTATATCCAAGATGGTGTTTTAATTGCATAGTTTGCTTTCTATCTTATGTAACTGTCTTGAAAAGGAGTTAATTAACAGTTTTAAAAGTTGGGTGGGAACCAGAAAGTCCACAGATGGCCAGGCATAAATCCTTACCGTAGAAGACAGCCTCGAATTCTCAGGGTAAGACCGAGAATGGGAAGGAGAAATTGAGCCATGGGTATTATTATTATCATCATCATCATCATCATCATCATCATCATTATTATTATCTTCTTTCCATACACTATCGATGCAGGAAATTATCTCCTTTGATGACAATTGATAATTTGTATGTCAAAAGGCCTCTATTTATTCTTTCTATATACCACAAATATATGGTTTTTTATATACAATATATATCAGTTTACCTCAGTTGATTGCTCAGTTGATTGAAACTCATTTCTAACTTTTCTTATTAAATGAAACTTAGACTCTGAAAGGGTAGAGTTTGTGTGAGGGTCTCCATGTTAGAATGACTAGGTCACCATCCCTTCTGGAACCCAAGTCCTTGGGTCTCTCTTTAGAGAGACTCAGGTCATGGGATAGGAATTGTGAGGAACCATTCTCCCTGGGAAATACACATAGGACTTCTGGACAAGCCCTGTACCCAATGCTCACACACAGGTGGAGGAAGGGCTTTGCCATCGTCCTCCATGTTGAGGAGGAAGTAGGAACGAGCAGTACACCAGATGACGTCATACAGTTTGAAGGTACAAGATTAGTGCCGTAACTGCTACAGGGAAAGTGGTAGCTGGCCCTCCTTCAGTGAATCTGCCGGTACTTTGATTTGAACAACCGACAGAACAAATGTCATCTCAACTGACCTTTTTTAAGCACAGTCCAACCAAATTTGCTTCCAAACATTTCGTTATTTTAACAACAACAAAAAAATCTTACTCTTGAGTGTACGCTGCTCTATGATTTTGACCTAGACTGTGGATACCACCCTGCCTGCCATTGTACCCATTTGGTCAGACAAGGGACACTATTTATCCTGCAGGCTCATCGTGCATCCAGCTGTGATAGACTGATCCCGCAGGGGAGGACCATGTCCACCTTTAATACCTCTCTCCATTCTTTCATTAGCCCCAGGTCGGTGTCCTAGCCATTCATCTAAAGGCCACCTCCGCCATACAGCCTTGATGACTGAGCTGAACTCCTGTCAGATTTAGCCATCCCCACCTGTTATTTTATCTGTGTTCTAAGTATTTATGGGAATCATCTTCCTATTACACTGTGGACAGAATCTATACCTAATTTACTTTTACCTGTTTCCTTCAATATCATAGAAAGTTAAAACCCACAAGGGCTCAGATAACATATAGATTGTGTCTTTCTAAAATTTCTTTTTTCCCTCTGCCCCAGGAAGAAACCATGTCTAGAGTAGACCACCAAGTTCTCAATCTAAGAAATGTTATCCAAAACCAGGGAGTTCGCCTCCTGGCATGCACATAGAAAGTATCTGGATTGTCTACGATGCTTCCAAAGGCCCAAAACAGCAGACTCAAACTAGAAATTAAGACTGAGGACGTGAGACACACATGTCTGAATCGTGCTGTGCTCACTCCCTCCTATTAAGGTATATCTAAGGTAGTGCATAAGAACCCCCAGGGCGTTGGCCCCTGGACCAGTTCAGCTCTACTCATTGTGATTTCAGATGAGTTGTAAAGTGCTAAAAATGGATAATAGTGGAGAGCATTGTGTTTTACATGCAATAGTAGCTTACTTAATTGTTTAACTTTTCAGATATTTCGAAAGAAAGCAGTGGAACTTGGGGTAAAATTGCTACCTGCATTTCATACTCCCTCTGGAATACCTTGGGCATTGCTGAATATGAAAAGGTAAAAGTCTTCATTTTCAACAACATACTTTAAGGTGGAATATCTGAGACTGTGGCCTCGTGAGATGGTTAATTACATGCACACTTTGCTGACAGCGAGTGACAACTGAGTGTCTTAGAACTGTGTTGGAAGCTCTTACCCCTTCAGTGTTCTATGACCTTGGATGACTTACCATCGTCCTAACAGAACCATGCAAAGCAGACTTGAGCCGAAGTTGGCTCTGTTTGACAGCCTTCTTGTCTGAGTGATACTGTCCCACTCCATAAATAACCAAGAGCAGTCAGGAAAGCATTTTGTTTAAGCAAGTCGCTGGGGTTATTTACTTTGTTTAAACTCTTGGAGATGGAGATGTTGCAGAGAAATAACACTTAGCCTAATCAGACCTTTAAAAAAGCTGCTGTATCTGAGTCTATGAGGCTGGGAGCAGCTGAGACTGTCAGGCCCACAGTTGTAAAGAGGGAATGGGACTGGTTCGTTAACAGATCAACCAGCCCCTCTGCAGAGAGAAAACTGGCATACTGTCTCAATTAATTAAAAACAAATGAACAAGCCAGCCAAATACTTTTTAGCATTCTCCCAGGGAGTGAGTTGAGTTTTCATTGTGGTTTTAGTATTTCATCAATTAAATAATTCTGTTTTAAGCTGTAATGATCAACATAAAATGTGATCTGTTCTTACAGATGTTACACATATACCCTCAGAAGAGCCCAATATAGTCACTCCAAGTGATTTTCCGTTTTGTTCACAGGGAACTAGAGTCACAGAGAGATTGGTAATCAATCTGTCAGACCAGACAGTGCATAAATGGCAGATGTTTATGTCCTCATACATGCATATTCATAGAAATGCTTTATTTACCTTAGAAACACTACAAGAACCAACAGAGCGGTTTGACAGAACTAGAACAACACATAATTACTTATTTTAGCAATACTTTATCCCCAACTTAATCATGAAAACCATGGAAATTAATCATCATTCAATTGTTTCCTCTTTTCTTTTAGTAAAAAAAAAAAGAAAAAAAAACCCAAGATTCTGTGTTTTATTTTCACTTATAAATTACCAACTAAATTTGGAAATTGTGTCTAACTCATTAAGTGAGTCTTTGTGTCTGAGTATGAAGTATGTTGAGCGTGTTGCAGCAGAAAGATGGGGAAGTCCTACTCTAGGGCTTTGAATTATTACGTATTATTAAGAATTATTAAGTACTAAATTGAGCTAGTTTTTCTACCAGGTAGTAAGATATAGCTCAGGACCTGTTTTCCCCACCAGAGCTCCTGAGGTGCAGCCTGTGGTTCTGTGAACTTGCATTATCATTCCATGTTCTGCAAGATCTCCAGACAAGACTGCATGTGAGCGTGGCTTGCAGTAGCTTGGCTTTTGGATGCCTTTTGTATTTGGCTCCTGTAGACCATCTCTGTTACCTCCTGTATCTTCAGACTTGATATTTGTAGCTAACATTCTGACAAAGATACTTTTTCCTTACTTTCAGTAAGATCTGGTCACAAAAACACTGTATCATTAGTTCATTTTCCCTTCCTTCCCTTCCCCTGTCCTCTGAGGAAGCTGTTATGAGCATAGTGGTAAACTAATTGCTTGCCAAGAGACATGCTTCTTGGTTCCCTCCAGCTTCTTTAAGATTTTGTTTCAAACCATCTCTTTAAAATTTATAAATTTTATAAATTTTATAAACTGGAAGGTAGGCTACTTCACTAGTTCTTTGGTGACCCTTCCCAGGTTCACGAACTAAGATTTGATCAACCAATGGGGAGCTCTTCTGATAAAAAGTATATTCCTTAGAAAATCAAATCATACCAATTTCCAAAACCCTATCATTCCATGGGAGTCCACCTAGGACCTGAGACTTGGGTTTAAGAACCTGGAGTATATGATGACTCTAACTTGTACTAAAACTCATTGGAGCCAATACTGTGGCTTTCTGCAATTAAACAAAGATTTTTTAAACTAGCAGGAAGGGTATGGGCCTACGTTGCATATGTTGAACATTTTATAACATTGTGATGTATCTTGAAATAATTGTAAATATTATTAACTTTATTTCATGTTTATTTCTAATAGTAAAGTAGATTTTTTTTCTTAATGAAATTGATTTTTAGTGTACTATGGAAATATTTTTCAGTACACAAAGGAATACTTATTAAATTGTGAATGTGTGTGTGTGTGTGTGTGTGTGTGTGTGTGTGTGTGTGTGTGTTTATGATGGTCAAGAATTCATTAACTAGGGCATTCACATTTTTCCTAAGACCATCCCTATTTTGAACAATATTTTACATTAGGACATCACTTCAAGGATTATATTTCATATGGTTTTTAAGAAATGATCATTTTCATTTATATATTCCCAAATGTTTTCATTTAAACTAAAGGAAATGATGTAATCACCTGGCAGCTGATAGGGACATTTTTTGTTGCTTTTGTTTTTGTTTTGTTTTGCTTTGCTTTGTTGCCAACTTAGATGAGCTTTTGCTGGTTTTGCTATTAAATGTTTTATCCACTCTCAGTCCTGTGTACCAAATAGCAATGACATGCCCCAAAATCATAAAATAAGCATTGGCAAAATTATAGTAGAATTCTTCATATTCATTTGTCTAATTAAAGTACATTAAATGACCCCAGTCTCCAACTGAAAAGCTTAAAATTTCATCTGAAAATTTTTGGAAAGGGGAAAAATGGCATTTCGCATATACCTGCAGCAGTCTTGCTGTTGTTTTACCAGTGGGCATTTCCTCTGCATTCATATTTTCACAGTGAGGCTCAAGGAAAGGGGGCGGCTGGCAATGGGAATTTTCTAATTTTTGAAGACTGCCACTAGTAAATGTTTTAAAGGAGAAGTGGGGAATTGAGTCTGTTAAACCCATATTTTCTTAATTATCTTCTCAAAACAAGAGAATGTTTGTAGAATTTGTAAAATGCCCAAGGTATGTAGTTGGGGGAAGGGTTGGGGGTGCTTTGAGGACACTTTGTCATTGCTGACTGGTTTTGAAGCGCAACCTGGGCTATCTTGAAGGAAGCATTGAGTGAAGGCTGTGTTGTTATAATGTAGCACTTCTCAGGTTTTAAAATAGGAATACTATTTTTTGCCAACATCCCCCAGAACGTGAACTTATTGCTGTGACGTATACACATTCCTCTAATATCCAGGTCATCACCTAAAGATAATTAGTTTCTTCTCCTTTGTCAAAAATAAGTATTTCTTTGTGTCTTTCCTGTGGCGATGTTTTGTTCTAAATCTTGGAAAGGTTTTCTACTTCTGTTCACTTGGTTTTATTGAGGAGGATAACAGACAGGCCCACTCCCTCAGGATTCAATCCCGGTAGTTAAAGCAGAATATATATTTTGTATGTGGTGTTGTACGCTCACATTTGTAATTTATAAATATAGGATAGTTTTGCCAAGCAAAGATAACTGCTTACTGGATTGAATTTAAAACAAGTAGTATTTTGAATTGGGAAGGTTTATATATTTGGAGCCAAAATACCAATAGAACAAATTGAATTTCGTTATTTATGTATAAGCTGGAAAATATGTAGAGAACCTAATTTCCTTATATACTGTCTTGAGAACTCGGTGGTGGGGGTGTCAGGAACGCAAAAAGCCAGCAGCTTTTCTTGTAGCTGGAACAAATTCTTATTCAAGAGCTGCATTTTAACTGTGATTTTGTAACTTGTGGTCATTTTATAGCTAGGTGTTGCAAGAGAAGACCAGACTAGCATGCGTCCCTCCCGGTGGTGCTGTGGAGGGTGGCAATGTAAGTTACACAATGCCTCTGCCAAACGAAAACCAATGTCATGCAAGCAGATTAGATTTTTGTATAACCCAGTTTCTGTAATGACAGATGTCCAAGTTTAAGGTCTGATGTCGCTACTACTGGTAGCAGGGGGACCTGTGCGTTTAATTTTCTCCAGCTTGCCACAGAAACTCACCTATATGGTTTGAGGAACCAAGCATTTTACCACTCCTTTATTTCTAGGCATAATTCAAGTGGGGTGTGGAGAACACTTCTATTAGATTTTTGGTTTTCTAAAGTGTGTTCTTAATTTAAAATAATGTAGTTAATGTGCCCATTATTCATGTCTATCACCACACATGCAGCCTGGGCATTCCTAATAATTATTCTGTCTCTCTTGATAAATGAGTCTGTTTTAGCTATATTGTTTCATCACTTCTTTCTCTTGGTGGATTTTCTGAGCCGACACTTGTGGGGTGGGTATATTAAGTTAGTGGGACTGTCTGCAGTGTGTGTGTTTATTGCTCACCGTCAGGGGATGTGCTGGGACCAGACTGCTCTCTCTTTAGAGTCGGTCTCATTAGTCTGCAGGATGATAAACAAGGGACTGCTCCCTCACCTGTTTCCCCCTCTCTTGATAAAACTTTATGTACCCACTATCTTAATTATCTGGCCAAGCACATACTTGGTTATGAGTTGCATTGTAGTTTATATTATTATAATTAAGTTTTTAATTTCTTTGCCTGAAACATGGTCTTAATTAGGAATAATACATAGCTTAATGTTTCCTAACAAAGAAAGATTATCCTACATGGATGGTGATAACCCCTTTACTGAGTTACTGAGTAATGCTTGAGTGTTGTAAAAAGGCTTATGTATTTTACTTGGGAATTTTAACAGACAAACTAGAGAAAATTGCTTACTGGCCTAAATTATCTTTAAATTTTTTTTTAAATGTTTGACTTCACTTGGTCATTGACGCGTGTATTTCAATGTTTATTTATATTTGAGTCCCTTTCTTTTTAAAGTTTCTGGTGTCAGATTTGAAGGAAGAGCACTGTTTTCAAAATGAAGCAGAGTACAGCTCCATACTTTAACTAAATAGGCGGGATATTAACAATATCAATAAATATTTTCTGAGCAGAAGGAGAGCAAGCTGATTTAATGATTTCCTGATAAAGACAGCTTATTGCTTAATTATCTTGCAATGTTTTATACCAGTGATCTAAGCACGTATAAACACAAAGCTTGA